TTTTTTTATTATAGAAGATATACAGTATTCAAGAATATGTACGGAATAAGAATGCTGGGATAGGCTGTTGCTTCTGAACCTGGATTTAAAAAATCAATGGAATCCCTATTTTAAATTATGGAAATGTGTTATCTTTAAATACGTATAGCAAATCTAATTTATTTGTTTATTTCTTAAGCTTGTACCTATTAAAAAGAAAGGAAAACACAAAGTGCAGAATGCAGAGATTTTGCCAGCTCAACCCCCTCCTTCAACTTTTTAATCTACGCACGTACAGTTTGTACATGTATTTGCCGAATGACTTTAATGTAGACGTTTTATTACATTATTTCTTATTCTTATTCACTTTTGACAGAAAAAGATGTAAAGACCATGCTAGCATTGATGATCCTCATAATGCCATTTTATTCTCTCTATTTTAATTTTATTTCCTCTACCCTATTTTAAATTAATTTTAAATTTATTTCCTCTTTTTTGAATTTATTTTCATAAATCTTGATGAAGGTGTTAATGATTTTTGTAAGGACACTGTTTGCACAGATACTGTAACTCCCCCCCCCCCCCCCCCCCCTCCTCCCCTCCCCTCCATCCACGAGGAGTTTCCCTGTGTCATAAGAGTACAATTTTGAAGACTGGATTCCAGCATCAACTGGTCCCTGTTTCACAAAACTTGATAGACCAATTGAAGTTATAGGAACTGTGAAAAGCCATTGAAATCTTTGAATTTGATCGGCTACGAACAAATTTGATACAGACATGTCATTGGTGTTATTGATGAAATGTTTTCTTGAAAGCTAAATTGTACCGTAATGTCTTCTGTGTGTATAAAACAGAACATATTAGAATATGGGCAAAACAGGGTGTATTTTATTTGGTAGAGTTGTACATAATGTTCTGTCTGAATTGTTAGTGCATGAAGTTTTTGTAAATTCCATTGAGTTGGCTGAGCCCTGTAGGCTTGTTTTAGAGAGTTTATATGGGATGATGTTGTCACTTGGGTAATACATGTAGGTTGAAATATTAGCATATTAAAGTCACACTAAAGCAGGGCTTAAATTAATCCAAGGCCATGACCGTGGATGCCCTTTTGGTTGGCCTCAATGCCCTTCTCATTGGCCTTGGAGATTTTGTGTGCCCTTTCTAATTCTTCCTATTTGTGCTGTGATATAGGAATGTGCCCTACAGAAAAGTGGCCTTGCCCTAAAAATATTAAAATTTAAGGCCTGCTAAAGATACAACCGGTTGCCTATGAGCACTGGTCGCGAGTTAGTTGTCGGTCTTTAAAAAGTTGTTGGTGGTCTCTGGAGCAATTTAGTCAGCGTCTTGCCTGGTGCCTTACCTGTACTTGTATTTTTCCAGTTTATGAGTCGAATTCTGCTATACTTTAGTAAATCTGTAAATCATTGTTTGTGATACTACCCTCCGCACTACAGCCCCCTTACCCCCCCCCCCCCCCAATAGCCACTCCGAAATCTACATCCAGGAATCCCCTCGCCCTGTCCCTGGACTGCTGCTTCTCGAACATATAACCCTTTAGGAATATGACGTTTAGGACTATGAAAACAAATTATAATTTGTTTATGATTTGATTTGATTTGAATTCAATCAGAGATAGACTTAACTAGTTTTTTTTCTGATTGATTTTGTTGGTGTTCCTTTTTGCATAATTCTAGTGTTATATTTTTAACCTTCGCAGTGCCTCGATTGTGTCAAATCATGTTAAAGAATCGACTAAGTTTTAACGTTGTGTTTAAATTTTGGACCAATATCATTTTCTTCTTTTTGAAAACCCAAGTAGGGAAGTTTGATCGCAACTCCAGATGAAGATGTATCTGCCAATTTTGACTGAAGCGAAAGAAAAGAAAATTAATGAATATAATAAAGATACCCCCAAATAAATATTAATAAAGAGACAAGATAAGAAAAATATATGCCTTGCAAGTTTTACTCTCCTGTTTAGAAGGTGTTTATAGGAGGGTCCTTATTTTGAAGAACAATAAAGTTTGAGATTATGTACTGATTGTTACGAGCCAGAGTGATGATAACAACACATATTGTTAAACGCATATTATAGTTACACCCTTCTGGTTCTCACGGTCGATATTATCATTCATAAAATTCAATCCCAGATCCTAATCAAGTGATTGGTCTGATGCGTTCACATGTGGTTCATTTACGAAAAACCCATGTTATTTCATTAAAAAGTGTGCTCATACTGTGTGTTGGCCTATACTTAGAGGCCTATACAGTGCGTCCCAGAAAAAACGAAACGGAGAATTATCGATGTTTTATCATGACTGAATCACATTTATAATTAATAAATTACACATATTTGGAAAGCTTAGATCCTCCTCTTTCATTTGATGTAACTCATTATGATGCATATTTCACGCATGAGTGATTAAAATCAATTTGAAGAGAGGAAACCGAAAAGTCGTTTGGCGGGCGGTATCTGAATTTCAAAGAGAAAATCACATTTCTAGAAAGTTGGGTTTCTGCCCTTTCATATGACACCTCAATCAGGAAAAATGAGCAAGGAATGACAAAGTTCTGTTTGTTTAAAGTAGCCCTTACAATTTTATAATTGTAGCAAACAAACTTTTTTCACTGGTCGCCTGCCGTAACGAAAAGCATAATTAACAAAAAGACTTAACTCTGTTTCGCTGACAATCAGCCATGCATGAAGTCTTTCGTCTACGGGTGATTGTCAACGAAACGGAGTAAAGTCTTTTGTTAATTTCGTTTTTTGATACGGCAGGCAGCCAGTGAAAACAAATTTGTTTACTCAAATTATGGAAATGCAAGCACTACTTTAAACAAACAGAACTTTGTTATTCCTAGCTCATTTTTCCTGATTGAGGTGTCATATGAAAGGGCAGAAACTCAACTTTCTAGAAATGTGATTTTCTGTTAGAAATTCAGATATCGTCCGCCAAATGACTTTTGTTTTCCTCTCTTCAAATTGATTTTAATCACTCATGCGTGAAATATGCATTACTATGAGTTGCATCAAATGAAAGAGGAGGATCTAAGCTTTCCAAATATGTGTCATTTACCAATTATAATTGTGATTAAGTTATGATAAAACATCGATAATTCTCTGTTTCGTTTTATCTGGGACGCACTGTATAGAGGTGAGTGTGCTTGTACTCGAGTGGTTTAAGCACTTGACTTGAAATGCAAAGGTCATGGGTTCACTACCCGACATGGCTCTAATGCCTTTTGGCAAAGCATTAATCTACATCTGACACTCTGCACCAAGGAGATAAATGGGGACCTGAAAGGATGACGAAAGCTTTTGTGCTTGTAATGTTCCCCCCAATATAGGGAGCAAGTCAAAAGTTCAAAATGTTGTGAAATGCGATGTAATTTTGAAGTCGGCCATGAATTCAGAAATGTTTTCTTCTTTAATTCCAATGATGAAATGTGCCTTGAATGGTGTTGTTATTCTGTGAAGAGTACGGTTTTGGGGAGATGAATTTGTTTTCACTGTATTCCGAGAGGATTGACTGTTGAAGTGGAAAATAGGCAGACATGCAATAATCAACATGAAAACTCAAACACAGTCTGCTAATCTTACAGTGGGGTGCTGTACATTTCATCTTCCAGACGTAGTATGAAAACAACATTCCTCCTCGACCTCATGTTTGACCACTTAAACATCATTCAACAAATATTTCGTCCTACAAAGATGAAGATAATACACCATCGGCATCCCTAGAGTACATTATTACCTCGACATCATGCAAATACAATCCATCCTCTAAACATATGAAGATTTCACTTTTGAAAAGAAAAATATGCTTTTTGCAACATTTCTCCTCTGACTTCGCCCCCAAAATTCAGGTGTACTGCACATTCCATGGGTGGTATTCCGGTAGCGCGTACTAAGTTAGCACGTGCTTAGTTAGTTCACACTTCTATGGAGTGCCTGTTGCAAACTAATTTACCCTGTACAGATTATTTTAATCCTTCAATGAAAAGTGTTCAAAAAATTAATTTTGCAATAAAATGGGAAGAAAAAGATGATATGAGTATGAACTGAATTTCACCAAAGTTTTTGGTAGATTATCTTTGTCATGAATATTGAAGGAGGAAGATGAAACCTAGCATTCCATAGAAGTGTGAACTAAAATTCTTGTTTAGTCTGGACTTAGTCCCGGCTTAACTTATGAGAATACCACCCCATGATTACATAATCATTACAAATGGGGCATGATGATTGTAAAGGGGGATAAACAGGCCTTTTAATTATATCCAATTGTGTCATGATATTACTTAAAGGGAAAGTCCACCCCCAAAATAAGTTTGTTTCGATAGAGGCAGAATAATAAGAAAATCAGGTGAGTGAAAGTTTGAGCAAATTCTGAATGAAAATAAGAAAGTTATGAATTATTGAAGTTGTGATCAATCAAATACAAATTGGCAACTCTGTGACTTATTATACGAGCTCTCCTTCATTTGCTTTGTGCATAATATTCCATAAAATCATGTTTTCTTCGTTATTGATGACGGAATATATATTTGTTCCTTGCAGGGGGAGTATAGAAACATATTTGCAATTATTATATTTAGGGTGCATGTATAGTTGAAATTTTTCTTGAGGGAAAATGACAATTTTAGATTTTTTTAGTACTGAGCAAATGGGAGTTAAGCTCGCATGATACGTCATAGAGTTGCCAATTTGTGTTTGATTGATCACAACTTCAAAAATCCTAACTTCCTTATTTTTAATCGGAATTTGCTCAAACTTTCACTGACTTGTTTCTCTCATTTTTCTACTCCTATTAAAACTAACTTAATTTCAGGGTGGACTTCCCCTTTAAGAATGAGAGATATCTACACCCCAACTTGTCAAAGAGACTCGTTATTTTTCATAAATTATTATATATTCCTTGGACCCAATGACGCAATCAGTATGTTAAAAAGCATTCAAAATACAATAACAAATCAGAATTTAACAATAATCTTTTCTCTCTATTTCTTGTGTCTTGTATTAGATGCTACAGCGGAAGAACCAGAGCCAAAACCAACACAAGAAACGACTCCAACACAAGAAAAAACACCAGCTTCAGAGCCAGTAGCTAAGGGTAGGTTAACAACAAATGGCACAGCTGCAAACCAGTCCTCTCGTGCAGATCATTCTAATTTTTAGCCTCTATACTAATGCCATGAACCCTCAAGTTCTTCCTTTTTTTTTAAACTACTTTATATGTATATGAAAAAGATTGTATTTCTAAGTTTTGCTTTGAAAGGTTGGCAGGTGTGAAGTAGGGGTTGTGACTTTCTGTCAAAGTACATCACTCGCTATGAACATGACGGACAAAAAAGCGGACAAAATATACAGTTCCTCATTCTACCCTAAACAATTGCTATGGTAGACAAAGGAACATCCCTTCACTGCTATTATGTAAAAATGTGTAGAACAGGTGTCACATGCTTATTCACCTGTTCTACACACTTTTACATACTAGCAGTGAAGGGATGTTCCTTTGTCTACCATAGCAATTGTTGAGGGTAGAATGAGGAACTGTATATTTTGTCCGCTTACTTTGTCCGTCATGTTCATAGTGACTGCAAATTGAAGCAGATTTAATAAATCCCCTGGAAAACGAAAACTTCAGAACAATCTAGTGTTTGCATCCCAGTCAGGATCCAGCTATCCTTCACATTTTTACCTGTAAACAGAATGTGGATCAGCTCCCTTTTGAGTAATTCCTGGAGAAACAAGAAATTTCAATTTGTAGTAGTTGCTGCGGCTTCGTCCAAAGAAGAAAATAAAATTGCACCGACACATGGTCTTGAGTGTACACCTATACCATATAAACAACAGATAGATTTATCTAAAATTTATGGATGTTTCTTTCGTGGTCACCTAGTGATAAGGTATTCCATTAAATAACCTGTTACGATATTAATGAATGAACTGCAATACTTGGAGTCCAGTCTGCATACATTACTTGTTGATATGTCCGGCAAGCCTCAAGCAAGCTTTTGTTTCGTCTAGAGCAACCTTTCTCTAAACATTTGTGCATAATATTTGAATATCTTAGTAAAATTAGTAAACCCAGTGTATAATCACTTGCATGTACCATTAATAACAGTGACACCAGGGGGTGTTTCACAAAGATCCTAAGTTGGACTTGACAATTATGGAAAGCCGTTTGCACCTATGAAAATATTTTGTACCAGTTATTTTAAAAAAGACAGAAAATGTTAATTCAAATCATTCATATTTTCTATTATCAAGGCAATTTTATGTTCTTGATGTGGAATTAACTAAAAAAGTCCAAAATACTTGAAATTTCGCCTTTGAATATATTTTTTAATAAGGCTACAAATGGCTCTCCATAATATTTAAATCCAACTTGGAGTTAAGTTCAACTTACGATCTTTGTGAAACATCCCCAGCTTTTGAAAATATTTTATTCACTTTCTGATTCTTTTTCTTTTGTATCCACTTTTTAGAAGTTGCTGCAGTCCCAGAACCAACTCAGGTATGTGAACATGTGAACCCTTTTTGTTATTGTTGTAATATGGAGGGCTACCAGATCGCACCTTTCTACAGGAGAATGCAGCGATACTTTGTGTTGAAAAATTGAATGTCATTCATAGTTTCCATACGTTTAAGAACTTGACAAACATTTAAAATGCATGGTAGTGGGCTCTCATTGCGAATTTAATACCATTTGGGTGTTTGCTGAATTACAGGTGGTCAGTCACCCGGGCTATTATTCAATCGGATACTATAAGTAAGAATTTACTAAATAAATTACTAAGCTAAGAACTCTACTTATCTTGTATTCAAATTGCATTTTAGACTTTTATATACCTAAGACAAAATCTAAGGAAAATATTTACTGATAGAGCATTGTGACATCCACGGTAAATCAAAAGTAATGCGCAATAAATGCACGCTAATATAATTGTGCACAGGTTATGATACTGCGTTAGAAAACCATATGCCTGCCAATCAAGGCCTCCAAATAATTGGCTCAAGTCTGGTAGGGAGCTGTATTAAATTTAGGGTAAAATACTTGGCCAAAAGTTGAACTGAATACCAAAATTGGCTAATTTTAACTAAGCCTCAGACTAAGTGAAATACTCATATTTTGAATTGAATACGGGCCCAATTGGCGCCATATGGAAAAAGTCTTTAAAACATTTCCTTCACCCGAAGGCTCTCGGGAGAGACTATGGGGTATTTCTTGATTTTTTAAGCTGTGCAATGCCAGTAAGTTAATTTTGTATGTATTTGGCATCAATAGATATGTAAGACTCTAGGCCTTGAAGTCCTTTGAAGTTTTTTCGGAATGTGAAACCTGCGAAATCCTTTTGTGAAAACTATCTTCATATACTTTAAATCTTTGTCACCTTGATGTAGGAACCATGTGAACAAGCCATTGCGCCGCCGGTGGTTTGCGTGACACTGTCTGAACCATAACCAGCAGTGACACCCTTTTGTGAAAACTATAGTCATGTATACAGTAGGCTTGCGGTTGCATCATGTGAGAGAGAGGGAGGATTGGGAAGTCCTGAAAAAGACTCGATAAGCCGATACAGTCAAGTACTTTAAATTTTGTCACCTTGATGTAGGAACCATGTGAACAAACCATTGCGCCGCCGGTGGTTTGCGTGACACCGCCTGAACCAGAACCAGCAGCTCAGCCAGTCAAAGCACCAGCACCAGAGGTCAACCAAAGCAATGGCACCCCCAATGGAACTAACGGTGAAGAAGCGCCCTCACAGGTAAGAAAAGGACAGTTTTAATTAGCCATGCATTCCCTGTATGTACAATACAATGAAATATTACTATATCAAACTCCATTGGACTAAGCAAAAAATCTTGTTTATTGAAATCTTTTTGTTTTCTACTGTAAAAAAGAGAATAAATGGGAAAAGCAAATAACCTTAATAACCTTACCATAGTGAGAGTTTGTCATTATAATCATCTATATAATATGAAACTGTTGTTGTAAAGAAATTTTGGCTTGCACTCGGTAGATAAATACCGCGTTGTAGAGTCGCTGCCCGGCAAGCAGTAGATGGCAGGTTCAAATCCTGCTGCTTCAAAGATTTTGTTCTGACTTTTCAATTACAAGATCGAGCACGCAATCTTTAAAAAAATTCTGTGCAACAATCGATATTTCTCCTAGGAAGCCTAACATTCATAGATATCAGTTTTTAAAGAGAAACTTGTGGAATTATCCCAACTATAAGGTGTTAGTGTTTTGTCCACAATCTTTAGATTATTTTATTCCCATGCTAAAGGCTGGAGCATCTCAAGAGCTATCCTATTCATGTTACACTGCTTCTATGATACTCTCTTAATAGGGATCATTTAACAATCTTAAATCTGAGATGCACGGCCCTACATGTTATTAGTGTCTGTGATGTGGTGCAATATTGAAGTCCTAACAAAATTGCGCTTCAAAATGATCCAGAAGTGCATCAAAAGAAGAGAGAAGCCTTTTACACATTGTTTGCCTTTCAAAGGCACTTTTATTTAATTAAAATTCAACTAGAAGAAATACTCATTTCATTATTTCAAAATAAAACTAGATTTTGTATTAAAGTTAATATAAATTTTATTTTATTTTTGTCGTTGATTTTTGTTTGTTTGTTTTATTTCATTTAATTGTTATTATTATTTTTGTTGTTGCGTAATAGGTTAACAAAATGTCAAATTCGTTTGGTTTGTGCCTTCAGGTGGACGGTGTTCAGTCCTCGCCTCCCTCGATCAGCGTGGGGTCAAATTGAGGTCATGTCTGTCTCCCGTAACGAGCCAATCACCTTTACACCCCTAGTCACATGATGTCTATTTTTTAGAATCCTCGGAAGTGAGCGTGTCGCCGGCACGGATTTAGGAGCTTGTTTGAAACTCTCTGTGGAATTTGGATGTAAATTTGATATGGTGGTATATCTGTAGTCAGAACGAATGAGTGTTGGAAATTAGAAGTGATTACGAAAATGTGCTAATGAATTTCTAAAGAGATTGCACAACGGTAGAACCTGTAAAGTATCGGTAACAAGAAAATTCTTAGAGAAATCCTACCTGTCACTATGCACGAAGAAAGTTGCAGAGAAAATTGGATTCTTTTAAATGTGTCATTGTATATAGTTATATTAAACCTTTTACATGTTGATTTCCGATTGTGGTTTGTGATATATTGTAGATACGGTCATGTGCACGAAATGATAGAGTACCGAGAGTAGAGTAGCTCTGAAGAGAAAAAAAAATGAAAAAATGACAAATGAACATCATCCATACCACTGTTTGTTTTCCTTTGTAAAAAAGAAGAAAAAAAATCAATATTTTGGTGGAATGATACTCTTTCATGAAGATAATCAATTTCAAAATGAAAACGTTTTAATATCTATACAAAGTTTTTAAAAGAAGCTTGCAGGAAAAAGTATATAGCTCTTTTAGTGTCAAATATTGCTGTTTTATTTTTCAGGTTGTAAAGAAAAAAAACTGTTCCCCTTTTTATAATGCTTTCCACATGTGGGGGTTGCTATTTGAATCCTTCAATCATGTACTGAAGTGATTGTATGAGGTTACCTAGTTTTTATATACTGTATGTGAACTTGTATACATGTAGGTTATTCCCAATTCATGCTTTTAACTGCCATTAATTGGATAGGAGTTTCAAGATTTAATTATACACAATTGGGAAGAGGGGCAGCAGATAAATCACAGCTCTGCTATTTAAGTAGTGACAGTTTCAGGAATTTGGAGATCACTAAAATATAAAGAGCATGATTCCTTTGGCAATTGGGTCATGAAAATGTGATGTCAAAGGGATCATATCGTCCCTATTTTCACAAAGTGACGGGAGTGAATGAAAATCGCATACAGTTTGCGTGCGGATTTTCCTCACTACCGTCACTTTGTGGAAATAGGAACGATATGTCTCTTTTTATATACCCACAATTTCTCAAAAAGTTTTATGATCAAACCTTCATATTTTACTTGATCTGATCTAGATACCCTATTTTTGCAGGTCCTCCGTAGTACAGTTTGTTCTTTTATGGAATTTCAGAAAGGATTTGTTTGTTCAAGTCAATTTAGGTACATGATTGTAGAGATTACACACGTACAGTAGTTCGATTTCTAATCCTTTGCTCGATCAAACTCTCACTGACAAACTTTCTGTATTTCTGAAACTTCTCCTACTGTGGTCGAATTTATCAAAGAGGGTTCAATTCTTTTAAAGTAAACTTCTCTTCAGATTGTTGGTTTTTATTCCCTTATGCGGGTCAAATATGTTATTACCTATCTTTTTAGCGTGCGTGTACTTTCTAAAGGTACGAGAAGCATTGTTTCTACTGTACTTTTCTTTGTTGTCTTTGCTATGTTTTGCGCAATTGAATTTTTATTCTGCGAATACAATTCCAATCTTTTAATTTTATATTTTAAAATGTGACATATAGATGAAGAAATTTGTGCTCTTGTACTTTCCAGAGAGAGAGATAGAGAGAAAGAGAGAGAGGGGGGTGTAATTGTGTGTATGTTTGAGTATGTGAGAGAGAGAGAGAGAGAGAAACAAAAAGAGAGATGGTGATGATGAGAGGAATAATATAGTAGCTTGTTTTTTAAACTCTTGAAAAGTCCCATGGATTGCTATTTTTTAACGGATTGTTGTTCTTGCTTTCTTAGAAAGTCATTTCCAAGTTGTTCTGCTAGTTTTCTCTTTGATCTCCAAATGTTCTAAGTTCTAATCATGAATTTTTAAGAATGAAATGGATGATTGTCTGATATTGCCCCGGATAATACCTTTGGGGGCGTGAATTAATATTGGTTCAAAAGGCATGACAATCGTAAGGGTTTCAGTGTTTAAACGAGATGGTAACACAAAGTATACCATTAATCATTTTGGGTGGAAACAAATCTTTAATACTTGAGAGGTTACTCCAACATTTCTACTGCATGAGACTACAGTGAAAAGTTGTCATGAAGAGGACATTACAAACGTGAACATTGCCTTGTTATATTAGGCATCTTGTTACAGAGGGGTGAAAAAAGAAAGTACAGGGCCAGAACCAGCGAAATTACCTTGTTATGTTTAGTATCTCGTTCTATCAATCGAAGCATTTTATAACGAGTTTCCATTTGACACATTTGGGGTCCTAATCGATCACCAGTATGTGGTTTTCAAATAACCTATCTTCATCTTCAAACTGTTTGAAACTGGAAGGCACAATGCCTATTGACTTCATCGAGACTTCAAGTCCGTCATGGTTCTATTTGAATAGTTATGTCCTTGTATTTAGCATGTCTGTTTTAGCATTTTTATGACCGACAAAGAGAAGGTGGTGATTTTGTATATATTAGAAAGAAACGGTATAATTTGGAATTGCATCAAATGATCACAGCGCATGTGACAATCAGCAGTAATAGTTAACATGTATGCTTGTTAAAAAATTATTTTTTATCCAGATGATGTATTGTAACATTTAAAGGCATTGGGTGGTATTCTCATAAGTTAAACTAGGACTAAGTCCAGACTAAGTCCAGACTAAACAAGAATTTTAGTTCACACTTCTATGGAATGCTAGGTTTCATCTTCCTCCTTCAATATTCATGACAAAGATAATCTACCAAAGACTTTGTTGAAATTCAGTTCATACTCATATTATCTTTTTCTTCCCATTTCATTGCAAAATTAATTTTTTGGACACTTTTCATTGAAGGATTAAAATAATCTGTACATATGGTAAATGAGTTGGCAACTGGCACTCCATAAAAGTGTGGACTTACTTAGTACGCGCTAACTTAGTACGCGCTACCGGAATACCACCCATTGTTTAACAATGACATCTGAGTTGCATGACCCTATGTGTTATCAGTGTCTGTGATATGGTGTAATATTGAAGCCCTACAAAAATTGCACTTCAAAAGTGCCTCCAAAAAGTGAAAATTTTTGAGTGACCGGTTTTATCATACCGGTACTCGTTTTCACCATTAGACTAGTGTTATAAAAAACGTTAAGAAAACGGTTTTGAAATTTTGAATTCTCACCATAAATATCTTGATAATCAGACGGGCAATCGGCTTGTAAAAGTCATGGGATGCCTAGCTGACCTGAAGGTTTATAATTATGTTTGCAGCTTGAGCTTAATCCAGTATTTTTTTTAAGATTTTGAGACAACATGGTAAATCGCAAATGGTCAATATGCTGTTTATGAACCAATATTTATTGTGGAGTGGTAGAACCAGTCTACCAGACATCACATGTCACTTTGTTATATAATGTATCGTCTGTTGGGAGACAAGAAGGTCCTAAAGTAAAATGCAGAATTGATGGCCTTCTGATATACCTGTAGATTTTAATGGTCTCCCATTTTATGAATAACGGTTATGTATACATCATCCCTCATTGGTTATGTTTTTTTAGAGTCGATAACAAATGATGTGTTTCACCATCATGAAAAGAATTGGTAATTGTTAAAACCATTACGCAAAGATATTGCATTGTAAACCGTTGCCAATTTGATAGTCATTCTAACAAACTGAGGTATAAACTGATTACGGAATACGACGCTGTAAATGCCTATTCTACGTCATTATGCATTGACTTCCTCCAACCAATGTACAAAATTACACCTGTACAGCTCTTGCTATAAATAGAGATTGAGATACAAAGATGTGTGTCTGAAAACTTTATGTTTATCCTAACCGTAACGGAGGACTTGCAACGTTTCGTTTCTCACTCGTAAGCACTTTTAACTTCATATATATGTATCTATGGTGCAGTGCATGTATGTGTGTACAAGTTAATTATTTTGGTTAGGCACTTCTGTAAAAAAAAAGTTTGTGATTTTTTGCTATGATTTGACATAAAACGATAAATTGCAAAATGGACAATTTTGTTAAAACAAGATTTGGTATGTAAGAACAGGGTAACGGCCAATTGATTTAGTATTAAATGACTCTTTGCAATCTATAAGTGAAGCAAAGCTATATGATAGACAATTTAAGACCGATAATGGAACAAAATTTAGAGTTTGTGAATTAAAAATGTTGAAATTATCAGCTTAAAGATGTAAACATTTATTTTTGTTTATGAATAACTCTACATAGCAGACTGGGAGATATTTAACCCCAAGAATCTTTATCAGTGTATAATTTTCTTGTAAAGATGTTCAGATTAAAAAGTCAGGTATATTTAGGAGCTGACAGGTTTGTACTCTGTGTTTAGTTCTCTTGTCACCCTTCATTCGATCTGATTTGTTTTGCTATGCTATGTGGAATACACCTGTTCTATAGAACCATTACCAACAGTAAATAATATAGCGATACTCAATAGCAATGTAAGATAGTTCAGAATGGATAAGGTGAAGGTAGTATATATGCGATTCTAGTTGGAAATTATTTAGGGAGGTATTCAGTTTGCACTTTTAAAAGTTTAAACAAAATCATTGATGGAGATTTTGATATAAATAGAAACCACGCTAAGTTTCCTTCGTTCGATATTCATGCGAGGTTTATTATGCACGGTATTACATTGTAATGTCCTGTAACTTCATGGTATTTCGTTTTCTTGTCATGGACCGTTTTCATATGGCCGGTAATACCCCAGGAATCACCCTCAAGCCACACTGCAATTTTGCATAGATTCACATAGAGGTTTGTGCTGAATCTGCTAATTTGCAGTGATGGCACCCAATGGTCATTCCAGTATTCTACAGTCATGTGAGAAAGCTTCCGAGTAATTTTCTTTTAAACTGTCTTTTGCGTTTTCTTTGTCTGATGTTGGGTTCTTCTCTATATGTTGCTTCAGAAATGTCTCTATAAAATTTCCATAATGATGTAATAATACACAAAGTCATTCGGTTTTCAAAAAAAGACAAGTCTTCATGCGTGTTTATTGTCTTGTTCTTGTAGTGCAGTATATGCCAGTGTATAGTGGAGTAGATGTATGGATTTTTATGATGGTTGGTTTTCTTCTAGATTTAAAGAGAAGGTCGAGTTCTGGGAAGAGGTGAACAAATAATTTGTGAGCGTTATTGTTATTATGCTAGTGTGGAAGAATATCAGATAAAAAATGTTCCCTGGAAAAGCATGGCTCTTCAAATGCCTTGATATTCTAAATATGGCATGTAACAGCATACAAATCGGGGCAGATTTTTATGCCAATGTTCGTGTAGTCCCATTTACATATTTCTGTGTACAGTGCTTGTAACTTTTACCAAGACTCATCTTTATCTTTAATCCTGATGCCGTGTCTAATGTTGAATTTAACAGAGGAAGTTAAAAGACCAAGTCTACCCTTTGTTCAAGATGGCTTTGGTATTTGCATCTGGTTAAAAGGGGAAGTCAACCTTGATATTAAGTTGGTTTTAATAGAAGCAGGAAATAAAATGAGAGGAACTGGTCAGTGAAAGTTTGGGCAAAATTCCATTAAAAATAAGATTACGGTATGAGTTTTTGAAGTTGATATCAATCCCAAGTTTTATTACCCCAGCCATATATGGAAAACAATTTAACATTGAAATATCATCAACGTTAGTTATATTTGTTGATTCTGTACTATTCAAATGTTTGCCATCGGTGCAAACTCGGCCCAAGGGATTTCAACACATTTTCCAAAGAATTAGTGTGTCAACCCTTTACATGTAAGCGATACGAGAGCCGTATTATTGCAAAGAAAATGTTGTGGTCTATAGAATCAATTCATATTGCAAGTAAATTAGATCAGGTTTCAACCTCAATATGGACAGTCACCAGAAGTAGGCAAACAACGACAGTGATGGCAGCTGTTAAAGGAGTGGATCCTGGATTTTGGTAGAGAGGGGGGGGGGGGGGTTATCACATTATATCACAAGTTATCACATTTTCAGGTGCCTTTTTAGTCCAGATTTTTTAATTTTTAATTTGGGTGAAAAAATTTTTAAAAAGGGATCTGCAGATCCCAAGTTAATTGTTTGTATGTAGGGGATATGTAAGGTTCAGGGATGCCAATTTGTGAGCATTTTCAGATCATAGTTAATTAGGTTTTTTTGTGTACAAAATAGCTCATTCTAGGTGATTTTTAGGGCCCTCTGATCAATTTTAACTAGTGGCTTCCCTGAAGGTGATTGTTCATCATTTTTAAGGGGTCAGGCACCAGTCATGTTCCCCCTATATCTGCCACTGGCTCACTTCTGTATATTAACACCATAATTATTACGCTTTTGGACCAATACCCCCCCCCCCCCCCCCCCCCATAAGGGAAGAAAAGAAAATATATATATATATATATATATATATATATATAATTATAATAATAAATGTAGAATATTAATTTTCATTGATATTGACATTGATATTTCATTTGATATAATAATCATAGTAATAGATAAATTAAAAATATATATATAAACAAATAAGTAAGAAGATGAATAAACTAAGAGCAAAACAGTTGGCAAT